ACCACATCAAAATATGACAGTCTCCTTTGGCTGTTCCTTCTTTCCAGTGCCGGCTCCCTCTCCTGATGGCATCTGCCATGTGTACTTCATAGAGGAATCACAGAAAATTAATAAATTCTTGGCAGAATTTATCTACACCTTCACCTTCTATCCTCTAGGCTCAAAGAAAGACTCAACACCCACCTATTCTCAAAGAATCCTTCCAACTGTTTCTAGAGCTGATGCCTCCTGCCAAGTTAGAGGCTGTACTGCATCAGATTTTCCTTTGTTTTCTTACTTTCAAACCCTTCTTCACTATGGCCCCTTAGACTCTTGCTTAAGCCTCTAGCTTAAACAATAAAGCCAAAGCAAACAGAAACAACACCCCTCCTTCTACCCTGTTCCTCCCTTTAGCTACCATTCTGTCACTCCCCACTTAATCTGAACAGCCAACTTTCTTGCATCAACACTTATCTCACTTCCTTCTCTTCTACCCACTCTTCAATCCACATCAATCATTCTTCTCATCACCCCTTCCCTGAAATGGCTCTGAAAAAGGTCCCCGTGACCTCCTAATCACCAAACCCAAAAAGCACTTAGCAGTCCTTATACTATTTGATGTTTCTGCTACATCTTGCAATGTGCATTACCCCTTTTTCCAAACCCTTGACTTTTCTGACACTACAACCTCTGAGTTCTTGTATGCTATCTTCTTTCCTTGTAGGGCCCTTTTCCTACTGAAGACCATTAAGCATTGGTTTCCCCAAGGCTCTTCAGGGACCCCTTCTCAGTTACCATTTGTAGCTTCACCAATCTTAAATCTGTCTCTCTACTACTGTTGTCTCCTGGCTAGCATATCCAAATGAAGCTGCTACAAACAGTAGACATGTATAACACAATTTTACACTATGCCCTGTACTTTAAAGGCATCATCTGCCCTTAGTAAGGCAGGTACTCATAATCTTCATGTACAGTGAATCCAACCTGGAGCTTAAAAGTGCTAATAAGAAGAGTTAGGATTCACCACAGGCATGACTAACTCCAAAGGCCTAATGATCTTAGCTGCACTAATGCGCCAAACCACAGGTAACACAACATGCACAAACCCAAATTCATCATCTTGTCCCCCCTCTACTCCAACTGCTTTGTTCTGTGTGCTCTGCCTGCCATCCACTTGCCACTGAACTCAGAAGCCTGGACTCATCCCTCTCTTCTCTTTCCCCCTACATGCTCACACACTCCCATCTTGCTGATCACAAGCCATGCTGATGCTACCCTTCATTTTCTTCTCTCTCTCTCTCTCTCTCTCTCTCTCTCTCTCTCTCTCTCTCTCTTCCCAGTATTTTGGAGATGGTGTATCATTACAAAGTTCAGGCTGGCCTTGACCTCATCATAGCCCAGGCCTGCCTTGAACTCCCACGATCTTCATGCCTCAGCCTCCCAAATGCTATTATTTAAGGCATGCACCTCTACATCAGGCAATTTTCTTAATCTTCCTCCCCCTAACTCCCCTGATCCTTTCACCTTGGCAACTGCAAAAAAGTTTCCCTGCCTCCCCTCAGCAGCATGAGTGATCTCTGTAACATAAACTTAAGACTCCTCTTCTGCACCACCCACAGAGCTCTGCTCAAACTCCTTAACCCAGCAGAATGAGCTTTTCCCACTCCAGTATGGCTACTCTGCCAGGCTTACTTCTATAGCTCTTGCCTCCTGCCCTAGAATGCATAGGCCAGTTTAGCTGCAGTCCCTGAATATGCTCTCCCTCCTCTTTGGTTAAGCTAGCTTGAGCTGCGTTTTCTGACCCTTTCAACCAAAACAGTAACTAAATTAATAGTGTACATGGGGCAGACCAAGATCTGACTCAGATTTCAAATTCCTCTTTCTTCTTCCTATAATATGTCTCCAATCCTAAGGAAAGGCGACAACAATAAGCGTTCTCTCCCCCCCCACTGCCTGCTCCGAGCATGACACCTTTCCTCCCGGTATTGATGTCACCAGCTTCACTTGAGAGATCTTGTCCACAAGAAAGTGATTGGCCATACCTGGCTTTGTGAGATACTTTACTTCCTTCTCTCTTTTTTTTTTTTTTCCTGGTGGAACCAGGGATTGAACTCACACCCTTGCACTTGGCAGAAAAGTGCTTATTCCACTGAGTCCTCTCCCTGGCCTCTTTCTCTTTCCTATAAAGTCCTCACCTGCACAAAGGAACAAGCCACAGTACCACTGCGAAGCTGGTTCAGTAGTGTCTCACAGACAGCAACATCAGGAACACTGGTCACCCCATCTGTGATCACAATGACACCTGAAGCAGGGAACAAAAGACTCAAGAATGAAGACACTGACCAGACCAAGGTTACAGGGAGGCAACAAACTGATGAGGCCATGGACACATCTGTGTCCACCCACCAAGGTGTTTTATATACTTCAAGCACCTTTCCTTTGCCCTCATCTTCCTGTTTATTTCTTTTTGTGGTACTGGGGACTAAGTCCAGAGGCTCCCACCTATCAAGCAAGCACTTTATCATCAAGCTGTATCCCCAGCCTTTTGTTTTTAAACACTTTGAGACAAGGTTTCACTAAGTTGCCAAGGCTGGCCTTGAATTTGTGATCCTCTTGCTTCAGCCTCCCAAGTAGCTGGGACTGCAGGCATGTACCACCAGGCCTAGCCTGCTTCCTCCTCTTGATGTGAGATTGGTCTCCCCAGGTGATATCCACCTCTAGGGATCCTAATGGTTATCAGAGCTGAGGGTACTTGAGATATATACTAGCCCACACGTGCATTCTGCAAAGAAGGAGCGATCCCCTCCCGTAGGGCCCACTGTTCCAGGGAACCTCTATTTTTGTCAGTATCATCCCTAGTCTTTCTAGATCCATTTCCCCACTCCCCAAAATAATTTTTCTACTGACCTGCACTAGAGTTTGAGGGCAGTAATTGCAGCGCCAAGATGCCCTGACGAATCATACTGACCAACCCAAGATCAGCTGTCACCATGGAGACTCCCACCTTCCGGCCCAGGGGCTCTCCTGAGTCTGGCAACTGGTCTTCTGCCTGGTCTCAGTTACAAAACAGATAGAACAGGAGAGGTGGTATTGTTGTACCACCCAAAGCAAAGCCAGAATTTATTATTTTTTTCTCACACATGCTAGGCACATGTTCTACCTCTGAGCTATATCCCCAACCCCCAAACCAGAACATATAGCACAGTACTGCCCAGGCCAGGCACATTTAAGTCCTGTGAGGACCCCAACCCTCGTCTGCAGCTGGGTTCTGCTGTGCTCCAATAGACCTTGAATGGGGAAGAAGCCAGCACCAGGCAAAGCATCAGGCTATGTAGAGCCTATATTGAGCCCCTATCTTTTGCCAAGAAGTTTCCTTTCCCATATTTCCCATCACTGACCACAAGGTCTCTGAGGCAAAGCATACAGTGGTCCCCAACCATTTTTTTTTTTTTTTTTGCGGAACCGGGGATTGAACTCAGGCACTTGCACTTGCCAGGGAAGCGCTTATTCCACAGAGCCATCTCCCCGGCCCTCCCCAACCATTATTAAATAATTTATAATCAATTAAGTTGTATACAGTTATCAGGCACACAGACTTGCCATCTGTCTGGCCAAAATCATGGGATAGAGTAGTCCAGTGAGCTTAAACAGCTTTATCCTTGAGTAACTACTAACTAGAGATCAAAGCCACCTATGACCACTTTCTTAGACCCATGGGGGAAGAAGACCCACGAGTAAAACAACATAAGCAAATGGCCTCCATGTTCTCTCAGCAGGAATCTTTGGGCAACACTTCTGAGTCACCATCCTCCAGCAGGGGCCTGACCATAAGTGGTCACCAGCACACCTGTCCTTGGCTTGCTCTGCCCCTGGTTCCTAAGCTTTTGTTGCTCTCCAGCTGTCCTCTTTCCAAGTGGCTTCTGTCCACTTTCTCTCCCACATACCTGGCTCTGGGGATCGTACTGCTGCTGCAGCATAGTGGCCACTTTATCCTCAAAGAGGCAGAGCTGCTCATATACCTGCTGCAGAAATGCCTCACGCTGAGAAGGTTCCAAAAGGCAGCCTTGTACCAGCACCTGAGAGAAGGAAGGCAAAGGCTGAGATAGGAGGGTCTGGGTAGCACTGGACACTGCGTCTCTGCTTTCTCCATTTACTTCCATAGCTCTCCCAGGTGACCCAAACTTTCCATCCAACTGGATGGGCAGATAAGACTTCAGAGTCCATGTGCCCTCTGATCTACTCCAACAACCTAAGCCACGTACACTGTGGTCCAGCTCCGAGCTCTGACCATCAGTCACTAACCTGGAACCACAGCTTTCCTTGGCCTCTGGCCTCTACCTTGGGCTTCCTCAACCTCCCACATGGGGGTGCTGTAAGACTTTCCAGTTCTTAGGGGAGGTGCCCTGTAAACTGTCCTAACTCAGCCCAGCAAAGCTTTTTATTATAACTAACACTTTTTAAAAATTCTTTTTGATCTCTAACTACACTGCACACAGAAGCTACTGTAGATCTTTCCTTTTTTTTTTTTTTTTTTAAAGCTCAACAGGCGGGCTGGTGAGATGGCTCAGTGGTCTAAAGCACCTACTTGGAACAAGCGTGGCAAAGCACAGGGACCGCGGTTCGATCCCCCAGCACCACATGCCAGCCAGCCCCGCCCCCTGGTGGGCTGAGCTGGCGCCACACACACACACACACAATAAATAAATAAATAAATAAATAAATAAATGTTAAAAAAAAAAAAGCTCAACAGGCTCCTCTTATTCCCCCATGAATGCTCCCTGCTTCTCCTTACCCTTAGCAGGCAACCTGCACTCCCTCTTCACACACAGTGGCCACTGTGATGCAGCAAAAAGTCAGGTCATTAAGAACCACCAGTTGGTCAGTTCCTGTAATCCCAGTATTCAAGAGGCTTAGTCAGAGGATCATTACAAAGTGTGAGGCCAACCTGGGCTACAAAGAAAGTTCAAGGCCAGCCTAAGCTACACTGTGAGGTCTTGTCTCAAAACAAACAAACAAACAAACAAACAAACAAACAACTGAACAAACAAACCCCCAGCTGACTGTACTGGAGGGCAGGGTGTACTACTCTATCTCTCTGAAAATCACCCTCTAGGCTCTGAAGAAAGGATTTTCTCCTTCTCTTTTTCATTAAGGCCACTACACCTTATCTTGAACCTTTTGTCCCTCTACTGCAGCTCCATTCTCTCCACACAGGCTCCTGACTCCTGTAGACAGGCCTAGCAGTCTTTGCAGTGGCCCTGAATTTCACCCTTCTTTTCCTATAAGCTGTCCCACATGACTGCTTTTCTCCCTGACTCCTGCTCTCCTATGAAACAACTTCTTTATTCTCTGTCAGGATACTGTCCACTCTACAAGCATGAGAGAAGACAAATGGAAGCCAAGAAGTGGCAGAGCTGGAGCCATAGATGGAAGAGAAAAATGTTCATCTCCGTTTTGTTTGGAAGAGAAAATTGCGGTACAATCCAACCATCTCAGAGGTTGGCTAAATATATCAAAATGAAATAGGATAAAATATTAAGTTGTCGTTACAAACCATGTTTTCAAAGAGTATTTTGTGACATGTACTAATGCGTATGTTATTAAAAAGGATATAAAGCCATATATCTGATGGTTCTGCTCTCTTTGAATGGAGAACAATGAGGGAGAGCAACACACATTTATCAGATTACAAGGAAATTCCATGAAATGTTAACACTGGTTTTCTGGAAGTATTAAATTGTGGATGTATTTGTTTTTCCTTTATTTTTCAATACTGAGTACAGAACCCAGGGCCTTCACAATGACCCATATCCCTGGCTCTTTTTATTTATTTTAAGACAGGGTCTTATTATGTCACTAAAATGCTCAGATGGTGCTTAAACTTGCATCACCCTTTCAAAAGCTGAGATTACAATTGTGCAGCACCACCTTAGGCTATTTCTTTATATTTCAATGTAGCTTTTACAGTACATGTATTATAAATGAAAGGTTTTTTTTTTCTTTTTAGAACAGTTTGACACATCTTTTTTATTTTCTTAAATTTTACTAATACATGTTTGCAGTACGCTCTTCATGGGGGATTTGGCAAGAAACATCCTGAAGGAATTACAGGAAAATGTGGGGCTGACTCAGTGATGACAAATCACCACGCAGGCTAAGCTAAGAAATCCATTCCTTCCTCGCAGTTGTGGTCCTAGCTCAGGCCGCATCCTCACTCCACACTGCAGCAATCTGCCTGCTCTTGCCACATCCACACTGTCTCCTAGCCCACGTTCTGCACCAGCCACAAACAAATGTGGTCTTCCTTGCATACAAGCCTGATCTTGCCACTGTCTACTCAAAGCTTTCAGTGCTACCCTGTTATCTATGGCACATGGCTTTAATAGCATTCTGCACGTTTTCTAAGTGCCAGGCACTCTTCTGTTTGACAGGTATTAAAAATAATTAATAATTAATACAGGTACTGTTAATACCCAATTAGAAAAAAGATCCAGGTGTAGAGTGAGGTTTAAATAACTCATGTAAGGGAGCACAGCCAGTATGTGGCACACCTGCCTACGGGCACACTGCCAGGCAAAGATTCAGGGCTATTAACCACCACACTGAACTCCTATAAAGAAAAAGGACAAACTTCTAGCATGACGTTTAGCCTTTGTAGCTGCCCTCCATTTCGGTCTCCAGTCTCGTCTTTACTACAGTCTTCCTACACTCACATTTTACCGTTAAAACTGAACCATATACCCCATCCTAAAACACCGGCAACTGAGACATAGGCCTTTGCTGGTGTCTCTGCTTGAAAAGGACATCTATTCTTCGCTGGATGGTTAGCCTCAATTCTTTCTCTATGACTCAGTTCAATTACTGCTTCATCTAAGACTATCCTATTGCTGGCCCAGGTTTGGTTGGATGTTTCCTCTTGGTGTTCCCACAGCACCCAAGTCAAACTCAACAGTGTTCTTATCGCATTCAACTAAAATTACCTCCTTTAATATCAGCCTCCTGCTCTAAACTTTCAGCTCCTCCCATCAGGACAGGACAAGGTCTGACTCATCTGTGTCTCTGGGACCCAACCTGGCTCTGGCATCAAGCAGGCTTCAGTCTGTCTGTCAAGTGGAACTAAGTTTTAAGTGATAATATAACATTCATGCTCCCCGTGCCTTGCTTCTAGGGGCCTGCAAAGCCTGGCCTCTGTCTGGGGATGTGGCCTACAACCACCAGGCTAATGGCTATAGTAGAAGAGCACATTAGACTCAGGCAGAAGGCTGGCAGTCCCTGCCCTGGAACCTGGCATGCACCAACTGTATTTATTATGTGTTTCCAACCTTCAGCTGCTACTCCTGATAACTACCTCTCAAGAAAATGTGATGGCTAAGGTGACAGTATAGCCATCAGGATGGTTTCAGGGAAAGCCCCTACCAAGGGGTAGAAGGAAGTTATGAAAAAATGAGGGGAAACTGGGCCAAGCCTTATCTAAGTCCAAAACAGATATTCTAGTTACAGACTTGGCCATTCTCCAAAAGGAGTGTCTTGTGAGAGGCCGCCTGGATGGCAGATAAACCCTGCAATTATCTACATGGTCAGCATTCTACCCAACAGGTCACAGGACCCTCAGGGGAAAGACCTTGCTCTGTCCTATAAAGAAACTATATTTGGGGTATTTTGTAGTATTTCAAAATCACAAAACCATTCCAAAGGATCTGCTCCTGGGTTTGTGCCAGGAGTCAGCACACTGGAAACCATCTGTTAGAACTAAAGGAGGCAGGTAGGGAAAGGAGGAAATAGATGTCCAGGAGCCAGAACCAGAGATTCGTAAGATGGGTGAAAGGGCAAATTGCTTAGTCAGTGTCAATGACCTAGAGTACATGGGGAGGTTCTTTAGAACTAGAAGAATGGGGTCTCTCCAAGGGGAGAGGGGCTCATGGGAACAACTTGGAAAGATTCAAGAAGCTAACAGAGCTGGGGATTCAGGTATAAAGAGAAGTGATAGGGGCAGAACTGGTTGGTAGACTGTCTAAAATTTCCATATAGGCCCAATCTTTTGGCTGGCCTCAACCATATAATTTTTTTTTTTTAGATATGGTCTCACTATATAGCCCAGTCTGGCCTCGAAGTCTAGGTGATTCTCCTGCCTCAGGCTCCTGAGTGCTGGGATTAGAGGTGTGCACCATCATGTCCATCTGCCTCCGCCATACTGAGTGAAAAGTAATTGTCTTCGGCTGCATATACAATTATAATATAGTTGCTGCAGACAAGTAACAAAGCTTCTCTTTTTTATATATGTTATTATAACATTAAAAAGAAAAAAAGAAAAGAGGGCAAGCAGCCTTTGGACTGTAGGCTGGACACTCCAGAAAGGGTATAAGCTTGTAGAGACACTACCTGATGAGACTGGAGGCCAATAATGGAGGAGTAGGCCTGGATTGTCACGTAGATCTCGGGCTGGAAGTCGATGCAAGATCCAGGCACTCGGAAAGGCCGAAGTAGCCCACCTAGGCAGCGGGACAGCGCATGGAAAACTTCATCAAACAAGATCTCCCCTGTGGAATCATCCTGAAAACAATATAGATAAAGAGCTCTCAAATGTGTCCAAAGGCAACCCCCTAGGCAAAGGGCCATAAAAAGCAGCTTTCGAGAGTCAGCCTGAGACTTTTTTTTTAAATATATTTGGAGGGTCAGCCAAATAGCTGAGCAGAGGGGCTGGTGGTTAGATCCCTGGGCCTGCCCTGCTGGCCCCACCTCCGGGGCACACTGAGATGACAGCTGAGACTGGGTGTGGTAGCCAATGCCTATAATCCCAGCTCTTGGGAGGCTGTAGACAGGCAGATCACTACAAATCCAATCTAGTAGTGGGACCCTGAACACCCTATAGATCCTTCCCTAAAATACAAAAAATAAAAAAAATAATAATAAATGTATTTAGTACAGGGTTCACTGCACAGCTCCAACTTGGAGAGATCCTCCTATTTTCAGGCTTCCCAGTGCTGGGATTATAGGCGTGCACCACCTTGCCCAGTCTTGGCAGCCAGCTCAGTGCGCCTGGGAGTAGGGCCAGTGCAACATGCAGTACCGGAGATTGAACTCAGGTCCCTGAGCTTGCCTAAGCAGGCGTTTAGTCTGCTGAGCTATCTTGCCAGTCCCCAAGCCTTCTCTTATGATTGATTACATGGTCAGATTCAATGCCACAGTGGAATGGGATCCTGTGTGTTTGCCATTCCTTTGTAAGCCGGTCTTCTTCCCACAGTGGGACGCTGGGACCTGTTTCTCCCCTTGACCTTGCTTTCTCCTCATTCCCCCCCCATCCCACTACCCACTATCACCCTCCAACTGCTTACCACAATGCTAGTAGATGGACTAAGGTCAAGCTCAATGACAAATCGATACTGCCAAGCCAGGAAGGTGACCCGTGTGGAAGGTACGAGGAGGAATGGCCTCGGTACCACTGGTTCATCTGGCTGCCACCCAGGAGGGAGGACGCTGAGGACTTCCAACTCCTGCTCAGACTGAAGCTGACAATTAAGATGGAAGAAAAAAAAGGAAAGGGTCAGGAATGGGCCACCACTTTCTTTCCTGAGTCATTTGGTCACTTAGTGGCTGGGAGGTTGTATAAAATGCACTTAACCTCTTTAAGCCTCAGTGCCCTCATTTACAAAATGGAAATGATCCTAATACCAACCTAAGTGCTATTGTGTAGATCAAGAGAAGTCATGCAGATGAGGTGCTCTTTGGACCTGTGTTCTACACCCAGAGTAACCAACTACTGGTTCCACCTCCCATAAACCAACAACATGCTCTTCACCCCATCATCTGGAGGAAGTCATGAACCAGTCTCCCTGTGGGAAAGGTCACTGGCCCCTTCTCCACTTACAGCCCATCTTTCCTGTCTAGGCCTTACCAGTAGCTCCTGAGGTGTGGCCTGCACAGTTTGATGCAGGTGATTGAGGAACCAGGCCAGGCGAACATTTCGGGAGATTCGATAGTCCTTTTTCATTAACAGGAACACCTGCCCAGCTTCTTCCACCTAGGGGCAGAGACATTGATACAGTGCAAAAAAAAAAAAAAAAAAAAAATGTACTGCGTTCCCAGAAGACCCAGCTCCTATATGAGTGACTTCCCCAGGAGCGCACAGTCAGAGGCAAGCAGCAGAAGTGAAGTTTCTTCTTGTCACCACACAAAGCATTCCTAGCTTGTCATTCTTAATTCTGTTCCCATTCTGTTTCACAGACTTTGATGATACATGACCTTCCCTCATGCTTCCACAAATGCCTATATGAGTTTTCCTACTAACTAGCAACTTTTTGTTTTGTTTTGTTCTGGAAACAGGGTCTCCCTATGTAGTTCAGCTTAGTTTTGAACCTACTATGTAGCCCAAACTGAATTTGAACTCTTGGTAATCCTCCCACCTCTGCCTCCTGAGTGCTGGAATTATAGGTGTGCACCACCACGCACAGCTCAGCTACTAGCTCTTCACAGCAGGGATTATGTTTGTTTTATTTTTTGTGCTCTTATATTTGCCAAAAGGAGTCAAACATGATACCCAAAATGTGATACCCTAATATATCACCTGAATGCCAGACAGTTCCTTTTTAGTTTTTATTTTATTTATTTATTTATTTATTTAGGGTAGTACTAGGGATTGAAGTCAGGGCCTTCACTTAGAGTTACATTCCCAGCCTGTTTTTGAGATGGATATTACTAAGTTGTCCAGGCTGGGCTTGAACTTGTAATCCTCCTGCCTCAGCTTCTCAACAGTGCTAGGATTATAGGCATGTGCCACCACGACTGGCCCTCCTAAGTCTTGACCATAGTAGGCACCGGAGAAATTGTCAGAGTGAACAGAAAACCTCCTAAACCAAAACCAAACCTCTGTGGGTCACAGTCTCTACTTGCTATAACCTCTCCGTTGTCACCACCCTAGTTCCTGTCCTGCATTGCCTCGTAGGTGATCACCTGAACAGTGTTCTAACAAGCACTAAATCTCTTCTCCTTCCACTACATACATCCCACCAAAGCTTGACTCAGGAGAAATGTGACACTCTTGTCTATACATACAAATATGACAAGTGTACTCTGACAGGAAGAAACCTGACGCTCTGCCAAGAGTGCCAATTCTAGCAGTCCTTTACCAGTCCACTGAATCCTGCCTGAGCAGCAGCCTTCCAGAGCCCCACAGGGTTTTCCTGTCTTCCAGATCCTGCAGCCCCAGCAGATAAACTTGCTTAGACTTCCAGAGGAAGTTAGGATCAACTGGCCTGAGCTTCCCACTGCCTTTCTTCCTTTACTCTTCGTTGTTCTAGACAAATCACACCTTTCTCCCCTGTGTCCCTGACTGGTGAGGGGAAGGATACCAGTTGTAAGAACTGAAGAGAGGGTATAGAAGAGAAATGAATAGAAATCAATGATTGCTCGTTGAGAAATATGATGTTGAAAATAAGTTTAAAAAAAACTGTTCTTCTAAAGCAAGGCAATATGCACAGAGAAGATACTGAAAAAAACACCCAAAAAGCAGCAAGAAAGTCTGCCTGAAGGAGTGTGGACAGCAGAGAGGCAATGTCCCAGGATGTAGAGAAATCTTTCTTCTGCAAGATAAAAGGCAAGCAAAAAATAAAACTAGGAACAAATACTGGGCAATGGCAAAGATGGCAAAAAAGAAAAACTCGCATCTATTGAACGTCGAAGATAAACTCAACAGAACTCTAAAGAGGTTAAATGCAAAAATGTCACATTCATAGCCTGGACTTGGATTCTAGTTTCACTACTTAACTACCTGTGAGACTGTCGAAAAGGTACATAATTGCTTTAATTCTCAGTATCTTCATTTGTAAAATGGAAGTAATACCAATATCACTCTTAAGTGCTGTTAGGTGGATTCAGGGAAATCATGCAGATGCAGTGCTCAGAACAGTGCCTGGTATTTAGTAAAAACAAATAAAAGCTAATTTTTATTTAATAATAAATAAACTATAGACTATCACCAGGTGCAATACGAGTTCTCTGGGTAAATTTGTTCAGCCTTCATGGCAAAACATGTAATGGAAAGCTCAAGAGCAAAAGAGGCAACTAAGTACTAAGTAGTAGGTTTAGCGATTAGAAATCAAACCAAGGCCTGACGAGCACATCAGATGATAAGCAAAACTCATCTACTGCGAGTGACAAATGGCTAAAAATTGAACTGTTTTATCTATTTCTCTCTTAAAAGCAGGTTAAAAAAAATTGAAACAGTGACAAAAAGGAACATGATGGGGTAAGAAACGGTATTTTGACAAAATTAGAGGTTAAAAAAATTAAATATTGATATGACATGATTCTACATTATTTTATGTGGTCTCTATGAGATTTAGAACCACACTTTGGGAAATACTATACTCTACTGTCCTGTTTTATCCTGTGCTAAAGTAGGCTCTCGATAAGATTTTAGGTTTTATCTTAAGAACAAGGTCAAGTTACTGCAGGGTTTCAGCAAGACAGTAACAATGTGGTCAACGTTTAAAAAACATTTTTTCTCTTCTGGCTAAGTGATTAGAATGGCCCTCTGAGAATCGGGTTGGGCTGACAGTGGTCTAGGTCAGAACTAATCAAAGTAGCCCTTCTGTGAACTGCTTGAAACTGTCCCCAGTTCGATAAGCAGCGGTGCTACTATGCAAAGCTATTGCTGCCTTTCATTGAGAAAGTCTTAGGGGGTGAAAATAAGAGTCAGCTGAACTAAACAGTGAGTTTAGTTGGATTTTAAGAGGTCACCAGGCTAGAACAGACCAGAACTAGGCAAGCTCTTAGGATACAACAGAAAACAAAAACACTCAGGCCAGTGAGATAGCTCAGCATTCAAAGTGCCTGCTTAGGCAAATGCAGCAACCGGGGTTTGATCCCTGGCACCACATGCCATGCTGGTCCCACCCCCAGACCTGTAAGCCCGGAGACCATGCTTGATGGCACACGCCTGTAATCCCAGCACTATGGAGGCTGAGACAGGAGGATCACTATGAACTGAAGCTACATAGTGAGACCCTGTACCAAATACATTAAAAAAAGAAAAAAAACAAAAAAAAGACACTCATTCTAGTTCCTAAAACTTATCTATTAATAGAGAACAAAACTACTAATCAAACAATCATTCTAATTGCTGTATTACTACAAAATGAGTAACACTCTGAAGGATAAGAACATGCCTCTGGGGCTGGTGAGATGGCTTAGTGGTCTAAAGCACCTACTTAGAACAAGCTTAGCAAAGCACAGGGACCGCGGTTCGATCCCCCAGCACCACATGCCAGCCGGCCCTGCCCCCTGGTGGGCTGAGCTGGCCGGGCGTGCGCGCACGCGCGCGCGCACACACACACACACACACAAAAAAAAAAAAAAAAAAAAAGAACATGCCTCTACCACAAGCAACAAAGTAGCCTGACCTAGGTTAAAAATACTTACCATTAATACTAAGTGGGAAGGGAATAGGGTCACCATAGTGGAAGGAGGGTAGAAATGCATGCTATACTTTCTTTAGATTATTAGTTAGCAAGTGCTAAATTTTACTACTATGCAGCTGCCTTTTCACTACCATATCCCTGGTATTGTGAATGACACACTGACTTATCCAAGGCTAAACTGACTAGTCTACAGTACCAATCAGTTTTTACAGAATCTATCTTCTTGAACCAATGAACATCTGCCTACCTTTTTTATAATGTTTCTCTGATATATGATTCTACAAAGCCAAAGCTTCCTAAATTCTCTTCACATTCAGGCTGTACTTTATCAGAGCTGGAAGACTTAATAATTTAAGCAGCCAGAATGGTGTTTTTCAAAGTGGGACCCAAGGACCAGCTGCATCAGAATCACTTGAGATGTTAGTTAAAATGCACACTGGATTCCTGGGCATCACCACACAGCAAGTGAAATGAGAGTAACAGCTCAATGATCTACATTTTAACAAACTCAAGTGATTCCTCCATATTACTCTTTAAGAACCCTTGAATTCATTGTTTTCACAGTATCCACATTCATACAGAGCTTTAAATCCCTCTTGAGTCTGAAGTGCATTCTTCTTGGAGTAATTGGACAAAGACAAAGCCTGCTTTGAATCTGAAATGCAAATCTTGTCTATTACTTCTTCACCTAGGTGCTTGCTTAAACTTTCCAGGCCTTAATTTCTTCGATAATGTGGGTAAGAATATCTTCAGAGGGATGTTGTTGCAGTTAAAACAGTCAAGCAGCAACAATGCACAGGAAGGCAGTCACTGTTTAGAATATTTATCGAGGCCTATATACCATTTATGCCAAGATGAATACACCATTACCAGGCACTGTGCTGCATACCAGTGAAACCCAAATGCGTGAAACATGGTCTAATTAGTTTTCTGGGTTTGGGATCTGCCTGTTTGAGGTCTGAATTATTTCTTGAGCTTTCTCTAACCTGTGTGCTATCTTCTGCTAACAGATTCCCAGTAAGTAATGCAGACCCTTACCATCTTCCTGAGCTATCAGAAGTCTCCTTACCACTATACTTACACCAAAGTCCTAAACCTCTAGCCTGGCCACAAGCTGAAGCTTTAACTTTTTCCAAACCCTCCCTGCCCCCACTGTCAGTGCTCAGGTAAGAGCACATACTCAAGTATTTCGGGCACTTAGGACTAAATGCTGGTTCTGCTGCTTATTAGCTACATGGCTGTGGTGCACACTTAACCTGTGCCTTGGTTTCTTCATTGGTAAATAGGGATAACAGTGCCTATTTCAAATCCTATTTCATGAGGATTTGCTGAGAATTAGATAGTCAATTTCAATGTCATTTTCTGAGGCTTCCTGATTCCCTCCCCGCCCCAGCCTCTGAATGAAGTAGGTTAAATGCCCAGTTAAACTCTTAAACATTTTATTCATTTCTTTGAAGTACTCAATTATCATAATTCAATGTCTATCAAAAAGATAAGGATCATGTCTATCTTAACACCTGTCCGTCCTGACCCTTATAGTTAGGATGAGTCTCAGTCCATAGCAGCATTTATAAACTATCTTAAGTATCTGATGTCTACATAATTTTGTAAGTCTAAATCTACCCAATTTTTCTCAAGGTTTTTTTTTTTTTTTTTTTTTTTGATGTGGTACTGGAGACTGAACCCAGGTAATCTCTATTGCTAAACTACATCCCAAATCCTTTTTTATTTTTTGAGACATGTTTTGCTAAGTTGCTCAGGATGGCCCTGAACTTGTAACCCTCCTTCCTTAGCCTGGAGTATCTGAGACTATAACAAGCATGTACTGCTACTTTCTCCTGGGATCTTCTAAAAGCCACTTTTCTATGCTCAGGGACAGAACTATACTCATTTTACCTTGAGATAAAACTTATAGAAATGCAAATCAAGAACAAGTACAGGCTGCAGATATAGCTCAGTGGTAGAGTGCTTGCCTACCATGGGAGACCCTGGGTTTGACTCAAAACTAGGAAGTGCTTAACTTTCAGCTGTCATCTATTTCTTACTTCCTTATGTGGTCATTAAAAAAAAAAAAATTAACATTATGTATGTGGCTTCATTACATTTATATAGGACATTATTATTTTATTTTACTCATTTTTTGAGACAAAGTCCCACTATGAGTTCAGGTTGGCCTTGAACTCACTATGTAGCCCAGGCTGGCTTTAAACTCAGTGATCCTCTTGCTTCAGCTTCCCAAGTGGTGGGACACCATGCACATCACAACAGTATTACTAAGACCATCCACCTAAAAGGTGTCTTGTATTTTCCCCAAATACTCTCAATGTCTTCTCATTTTAACCCATATGGAAAATGAGAAAAAACTTTTTTTAGTTTCCTAAAAAAAGACCATACGTTGGCTATCATTACACCAAATCCTAACGAAGTGGACATTTGTTACCCTGTGGTTACTTTATTTATATTATAAACATTACGGTTAAGAAAATGAAGATTGTCAGGACGCTGAGGCAGGAAGATTGAAAGTTTGATGCCAGCCTGGGTTACACTGTACAATGAGTTAAAAGGCCAGCCTAGTCTGCATAGGGAGACACTGGCACAAATGAACAAACAAACAAATGGAGTCAGATCATTCGTTTCAGATTCCTAGTCCTGGTACTGAGCACCTTGGGATAGGCCAAATAGCTCAGGGGATTAAAACACAAAGGGGGGGGGGTTGATCCCCAGGCCTGCCATGTCAGTCCTGCCCACAGAGCATGCTTAGATGGCAATTAAGACTGGGTGATGGTGCATGCCTGTAATCCCAGCTCTTGGGAGGCTGTGAACAGGAGAATCACTATGAGTCTAATCCAGCAGTGAGACCCTGAGCACCCTATAGACCCTTCCCTAAAATAAAAAATAATAATAAAAAAATCCAAGCACCTCTGTAATTTTTTGTGTGAGTGATACTAGATGTTGAGCAAGATCTTTTAAAAAAATTATTTTTAGGGTGAGGCAGGAGGAACACCCTAAGTTCAAGGTCGGCCTGAACTACATTTAATGGAATCTTATCTCAGAAAACTAAAATAAACAGTTTTTTTGCTTGGCAAATGGGAAGGACACCAAAAGATGGAGGGAAAGAAACAGGAGAGAATAATTAAGATTTATTATGAACACTATCAACTCTCCAAGATGAACGTAATTATCATTGCTACACATATGTACCAATAAAAAAATTAAAGATATGAATTCAAAGGTTTAGTAAATGCTTCAACTAATAGGAAGAATAAATTATAGGCATGGCTCATTTGAAGTGAAAAAATAGGTAAGACACTACTCAAATCCTATTAAATTGACATTCCTTTCCACTATAGGAGATGCTATGTGACAAATGTCTAGAATAATCCTTTTCCCTTTATGATGAGATATTTACTTGCCAGGCATATAGTAGACATTTAATAAGTGTTAGCTTTTATTATCATTATTATTATTCTTGAGACTGGCAGTTATTTTTAACTAAGAGTTGACACATCTTGATTTAGGTCTTATACTTCAGAATTCTTATCTGAATTTAAATATTATATTTTAACTATTGTTAATCCAGTAAGTCCCTTGCTCCAAAACACTATTTAAAATACTTGCATCCTAGATACAGTGCGGCTGGACCTGTATTAACGCGTAAAGTCGATTGCATTTCAATGCTTGAGGAAATGCAGAAACCGGCAAAGTGAGCGTACTGCCGTGTTGTCCGATGCAACCGCAATAAGGAATCAACGCACAGGTTTGGTACTACCGCTGCGATTAGGTCAAAGGGTCGGAGGCGCGGAGGGAATTTCAGTAAACAAACTGAAGAACTTCTCCTCTAGGCTCCCCATCGGAACTGCGGACCGTGAGGCAAAAGCTCGAAGGTCTGGCCTTCGGGGCAGGCCGGGCCCCGCAGAAGCTACGCGGGAAGGCGCCACACCTGCCCTTCGGATCCTCCCCCTCGGGTCGCGGGGCCCAGCGCCGGCCCGCCCGCCCCTCACCTCCGGCTCCGGGCGCTCCGAGGCCATCACACAGCCCTCCCGCGCCGGCCGGGCAGAGGAGGTAGTTCCACGCCTGACCTCTGACCCGGTTACCTCGGCGCCCCGTAGGAAACGGAAGTTGGTGGGCGGGCCGAGTTCTGAGCGTTTTGATTGGCGGACGCGGCCCTCTCCGCGGGGACTGAGACACCGGAAGAGGAATTCGCGGTAAGCAGCGTAGGCCGCCGCAATGCAGGTGAGAGCCGGCGTGGGCCTACCGGCGGCTAGGGACCGTCGGGGATTGGGACCTAGAGTGGGCTTGTTAAGACGAGTGAGGAGCTGCAGAGCCCACAGCTGTTAAAGGAAAAGACGTGGGAAGGAGGAGGCGAGGTAGCTAGAAAGGAGCGGCACCGATGAGAGGTCGCAGACAGACTGCTGGGAGAGGAAGAGACTTGGCTGAGTCGAGATAATGAAGACGGCACTGCCTTGCTTGAGTGTGGGAAGGGATCCAGTTGTCATCTGAGACAATTGAGGTGCAGGAGAAGAAAAGATGGCTCGAGAAAGTGACGGGCTAACTCAGCCCGAGCTTGGCCGTAGGATGCAGATGTAATTGGGGATCTGTAATTGGAGAGAAGCCCGGGAGCAAAAAGGAATTGCGGTTGCAGAGACCAAAAGCTAAGCTATTATCTGGGGGTGTGGGTGGAACCCAGGATCAAACCCCTGACAGGCACACTAAAGTGTGCAAGACTGTTTTGCATCATTCTGCCCAGGTTGCTAAAGGTGAAGAAATAGAGCAAAGCGGGAGACCACAGACGAGGAGGAGGAAATATTTCGCAGGCATCCAGCATTTAACAGTGTTTTGTCTAGTGCACAGAAATGTGTGACGGTTTTCTTTTTCTTTCTTTTTTTTTTTCTGCGAAACCGGGGCTTGCCAGGGAGCGCTTATGCTACTGAGCCATCTCCTGGGCTCTGGTTTTGTTTTTCATTTGTCGGTTAGCTTCTTGCACCAGGTAGCCTCTCAATAAAATATTTATGGATCAGCTGAGCTTATGAAAGAGACTCAGAAGTACAGAAATAAATGAGTGCTTATTAAAGGAGAGCAAGAAGCTTGGAGCATCAAATACTGAGGATAAATGAAGAGCTGTAGGGCCAGGCAGGAAGAATACTGAGATGTTATTCAGAGAAAGTTTCATCCATGGGCAGATTTTTCAGAGATTGTATCGTTGACAAGAATAGCCAGGCTGTCAAAATAGATTCTAAGACAGGAAAAAAAGTGTGTATGTGCTAGAGAAGTGTGGAGGCATTAACCTGATGAAAATTTCTCAATGATGTAGAGTTGGATATGTCTAAAAGAGAAAAACACTCAGGAGTTGGGAGGTGATAAGAGAAAGATTCTGTTGATAGGACTTGAGGTCAAAGGTCTATCAACTTGAGGTCAAAGTGAACAGGTTGAAAGGTGTAAGGTTGATGCACTCCGTAACCCAAATACCAAAGATAGAAAACATCCTAGCTTGTTAGCATTCTTCTGTGTGTATCCTATTCACATTTATTCCAGTAACCAACCTGTTCCTATTGGTACAGAGGGAGGAGAAGCAGCTTGAGGCATCATTAGATGCACTGCTGAGTCAAGCAGCTGATCTGAAGAACTCACTGGGGAGTTTCATTTATAAGTTGGAGAACGAGTATGACCGGCTGACCTGGTAAGGGTGGCCTGGACAAGGATGGGCGGGGGGAGGGCGAACAGGACTGGACCTCCTCATATAGCTGTACATTTCTATTGACGTAGCTGTTTATCTTTTGCAAACATCTTTGATTTAGAAAGAGCCAGGTTGCCTAACATTTGATAGGTGAAGTATGGTTTAGGACTGCCATGACAAGGAAATAGACAAATGCCCAGTTTCTCAACCCATGTTGTTTTTAGTTTTTAATTCTTACCCTTTAACTTCTCTGGCATAGAGGGCCTATATACTGGGTCTCCTTTCACAGATGTGGTTGAGTCTTAGGTCCAACCTACTGTACAGTGGTAACTACTATTCTAGGCCAGAAAGGAAGCTTTTAACCAGTTTCTGAGTTTTCAGTTGTACCATTTTAGTCATGATTCCTATTTTTGCCATTGCTCATCCCATTTGGACTGTGACCTGCCTTTTTTCATACCATCTATGTCAAAAACTAAAAATATGAACCTATTTCCTAACCCCATCATCACTGTTAGCCAGTCCAGTTCATGCTAAGCTAGTCATAGTTCTATAAGTCTTGGGGATGATCTGGGTAATTTTACCCTAAAGGACCTCTTAGAGATTAGTTTGCATGGAAGGAGTGAAACATCCTGACATCTTCTTACCACCCCCAGGCCCTCTGTCCTGGATAGCTTTGCATTGCTCTCTGGACAGTTGAACACTTTGAACAAGGTCTTGAAGCATGAGAAGACGCCACTGTTCCGTAACCAGGTCATTATCCCTCTAGTGTTGTCTCCAGACCGAGATGAAGATCTCATGGTAAGAAGAGAAAAGGCTACAATTTGAGAAATAAGTTCTTAGGTAAAAGTCTAGAGCACAGTTATTGATTAGTTCTTCTAAAAGTTCTCAATATAGGGTAACATGTGACAGTAAGAAGCAAGGACTGCATTTTGAAGGCCTTGGGTTTTGTCCTTCTGGAAGTGGGGGAGCCTCTCCCAAATAGTACTGGAGAAACCCTAAGGCCTTGTGTCATCAAGACAAGAACGCTTCTCTTCCACTATCTCAAAAAGAGGTTCTTTTGTAACCTTTGTTTCTTCAGGTTTTGATGAAAATGTCGCAGAGAGAGAGGGGAGTTTAATTTTAGTTCTGTATGAAGTAAGCATGCGAGAAGATAGAAATCACAGATGAGGTGAAGGGCATTGTGTCATTGCAGTGAAGAGCATCTAGGGTAGCTTGACGTTGTGTCTCAGGTTGTTTTCCCAGAAAAGAAACTGTTTGGGTCTTCTTGGAGGACGTAGTGGGATTAAATAAACTCTGGGTTACAGCGGCAGACTGAAGGACGAGTGCCTGTTTTCAGTCACGAAGTAGTCCCTGACCATCTGAGAACCAAACCCGACCCTGAAGTCGAAGAACAGGAGAAACAGCTGACAACAGATGCTGCCCGAATTGGTGCAGATGCAGCTCAGGTTGGACCCAGTCGTTGCTGTTTCCTCACCCCCACCCCATCATGAGAAGCAAGTACAGTTGGTTATATCTAAGTTACCTCTAGAAGAGCAAAGGTAAAAACTTTTCCAGAATCACTTTCTGCCGAGCTAATTGCTAAACTAATGTGTGTTACAGAAGCAGATCCAGAACTTGAATAAAATGTGCTCAAACCTTCTGGAGAAAATCAGCAAAGAGGAGCGAGAATCCGAGAGTGGAGGTAGGCAGCAACTGGTGGCAGGACAGACGGAAAGATGTGGAAGACCGCTAGAATAATAATAATGGTTTGGGTAGGTAGTAAAGACAATAGGAATGAACTGGCTAGGAAAGGGTTTCCATCCATGCTCTAGGCCTTTTGTATATAATGTCAGCCCTGGAACAGGTAGAGGAAATGGACAAAGTGAAAAGGAAGAATACAGAGATGGACTTGAGGGTCTTCTGGCTCATCCTGTAGGATATGAGGAAGTGTGGCTGCTGCTAAAGTTAGAATTCCAAGTCCTGGCAATCATCACAGGTCCTCCAGCTGCCAGGTTCAGTCCAGGGATAGACATAAACTAAAGGGTCTTCACTTTCTCTTCAGGTCTCCGGTCAAACAAACAGACCTTTAACCCTGCAGATACCAATGCCTTGGTGGCAGCAGTTGCCTTTGGGAAGGGGCTGTCTAATTGGAGACCTTCAGGCAGCAGTGGGCCAGGCCAACCAGGCCAGCCAGGAGCTGGGACAATTCTTGCAGGAACTTCAGGACTACAGCAAGTACAGATGGCAGGAACTCCAAGCCAGCAGCAGCCAATGCTTAGTGGAGTGCAGATGGCTCAAGCAGGTCAACCAGGTAAGGTGACAGGAGTTGGAATGTAGCTGATTTTGCTCCTTTCCTCTGCTATGTTATGGCTCAGAAAAGTTTTTAGCAATAAAGAAAAATCTCATCTGAGAATTTGCAACAAGTAGCAGTGAACAAGGAAAAACTGAGTAAAGGAAACTGCTCTTAGGCCAGCCATAGTGGTACATGTCTGTAATCCCAGTACTCAGAAGGCTGAGGTAGGAGGATTACTGTGAGTTCAAGGGCAGTCTGGGATACATTGTGAGTTTAAGGCTAGCATGAATTACCGTGAAACTATCTAAAAAGAAATTCCACAAAAAACAAAAACAGAAGAACTGTTCCCACCCCATCTCGGACTTCTGTCTCAACTGTCCTATCCCATTTGCTCTCGTTTAGTGTAGGGGGTAAGTGTTTCTTTTTAGGGCAAGAGATAAGTGGTCAGATCATAAAACACTCTGTCAGATGCACAAGAATTAACAAGCAGGCAGTTTGCCAGGCTTACAAGTGTTGTCCATGTCCTGTTTCTTGCTATTGGCATCTTGCCATTTTTTGTACCAACTTTTACAGGTAAGCAGCTAGAAATGCTATTTCATCTAGGACATCTAGAAAAGCATAACTAAAGAGAACGGGCTAGAAATGTGGCTTGTCATAGAGCCCTTGCCTAGCATGCACAAGGCCATAGGTTCAGTTTCCAGGACCACAGAAACAAAAACCAAGCAGAGAAAATAATGCTCTTTTACCTGTGACATTAAATGGGGAGTCACATGTGTTTAGCTGTCTTTTCAGGGAGTACATGAGCAGAAGAACATGCTGGAGCGTATTCAGACTCCTTCCACTCATCTCTCAAGTCACCCTTTTCCTCCTAAACACTTACAGAGGGAACCAAAGGAAGACCCATTCCTCTGGCCTCTGCCAGTCACATGCCAGAGAGGTTTTGAAGTAACAAAGAATGTAGGAGGAGAGAACCTAGGAGGCCACATTTCCAATTTATTGTGCAGAGTTTACCTTTCTTCAGGTGTCCTTTCTTTTATTCTTTTTAGGAAAAATGCCAAGTGGGATAAAAACCAATATCAAGTCAGCTTCAATGCATCCATATCAGCGGTGAGTGACAGTAGCAGCCTCCCAG